GGCTTTGGAAGAGTCCATACCGATTCTGCGTGTCTCCTCCCAACATGGACACTCTGACGCCGACGTGGCCCAAAATGCGTGGCAAACAGGCATCGCAGTACACCGCGCGCCAAAGAGAGAGCGAAACATCGCAGCCGCCTCAGTGCGGCGCATCCTGTTCTGAACGGTTGCGCTCCCGATCAAGAATATCGTTTAACCGATCCCCATCCCCAGCGGCGTGGCCTGGGCCCCACTGGCCGATTTACCCCCCTAGATGGGGATGTAGGTCGTTCCGTTCGGGTTTCGAGGAGTGTATCCCCAACTAAGGTGGTAATTTTTGGGGGGTCTCGAAGGGGATGGGGATGGGGATGGGGATCGGTTAATGATACCGAGATCAGGCGAGGTGCACACGATTCGCTCACCAGCCCGTCAGCGGCCTGGGCCGCGCGCGAGCGGGATTAAAAATGTCGCTCTCGCCCAGGGGGGCGCCAGGCAGCGCTGGGGCCTGAAAGTGGTACTCCCCGGCTTGGCGCGGCGCGCTCCGAGGCAGCCGACTCGTGTCGCGGGCGCGCAAGCATGGATAAGTTCCGAGCGTCCAGTTCTTGCACGTGCATGCCAGAGCACGGCGTGCACAGCGCGGATGTGAATGTCCTCAGGTTCGGGGGCGCGCAAACATGGGTTAGCGATCTGTGGAGTTGGCGCGCGGTCGCCAAATCCATGGATCGGGGGAGGTGCCCTCACCAAAATGCGGCCCGTGCCGCCTCGCTCGGCGGCGGGAATGCGCGATTTCCCAGGGAACCGGGGCCCGCCGCTGATCCACGCCCCCCTCGACCCATGCCTGCGATCGCCTGAGACTCGTGGACTGGACCCGCGGACGCAGTGTACATCCCCCTGGAGAGTTCGGTCGTGGGGGCATCGGGGGGACGTACGCCTCGGGTGAAAAGGGGGAACCGGGTTGGCCAGACGGGGCCATCATAGAACATAGCGAGACCCAACCCGAAATCTGACGCGACCTCCCGCTGCAAAAACGTCCCACCGAAGCTGGGCCGTCAAAATCAAGGACGCGCTCGTAACAAAAAAAACGTCGGCGGACCCGAGTTCCGGCTCACTCGAGTCTTAGGTTGTTTCCCGAGAGTAAACTCGGAGGCCTGGAAATTGGCACCAACACCAGCACAGGGGTTTGCCTCCACAGGGAGATGATGATCTTAGATTTCGGTGTTGGTGGTAATATTTCGGCCACCTAGAAGGCCCGAAATACTACCACCATCACCGAGATCGGGATCATCTTCCCTCGGTGGAAGCACGCCGCCGATATTGGTGTTGGTGCCAACCTCTAGGCCTCCGATTGTTTCCCCGAGAAAAATTAACAGTTTGAGAAAGGCAGCATCTGTTGGTCAGCGGCGAGGTGGGTCCAGCCGGCGGCCGACAAAAAGACGGCGGGGCGCCTCCGCTGCGAAGCGAGGCCGCGGCAGGGCTGCACGCGGGCGAGGGGCGCAGGCAAGCGAATGACTACCTACCAGACCACCCCAACCCAACCCGAAGACCCGAATTTGACCCGAATTTCGGGTTGGGGGCGGTACGGGCACCATGTGTTTTTTCAACGTTCCCCGACCCCCCCCCCACTGGAAACGGAGGGCAAATTGAGGCCTTCGGGTGGGGTTGGGGTTGTTTGGTAGGTGGTGACAAGAGAAGGCCGCGGGGCGGCCAACGAAAAGCCTCAGATCGCTGACGCTCACGGCGCGGCCGGCTTGCACAGAGGATGCGCAGGCGATGCCATCGAGTGGCCCACTGAGATGATATGTTGCTCCCACCGACCCCATCCCAGAAAGAACGTCGAGCACCCTGACAAGCATCGGAACAGTGTCGAAGCAGGTTGGAGCATCATAACACCGAGACGGTAAACGCGGAGGAGGCGAGGGAGGCTTCTGTTGCAGCTCATCCGGGCCTCCCACACCATTTTGTCAGCTCTTGCGAACTGGCGCTAATCGATGCTCGATCGACGCTGAATCGACGCTAGTCGACGTCAAGCCAACGCGAAGCGACGATAGACCAGCACTACCTCATCGACTACCAAAACTCTAGTCGACGTCAGCGCATTTCTAAGACGGAACTGCGAGGGGAAACAAGGCTCCCCCCCATGATGTGCTGCTTCCGAGCAGCAGCAGCAGCAGCAGCAGCAGCAGCGAAGAGTCCCGCTTGGCGCCGCAACCGCCTACCCGCCGCATCCGCGCTCAATGGGCCCCCGACACGGCAAGGCCGTGTTTACGATTTCCGACAGATTGCCGATTTAAAACGGAAACGGCCAACAAAAACAGCACCCGGAATGAAACGGGGAAAAAACGGTAACTGGAAACGGCACAAACAAAAAGCTCCCCGAAATGGGAGAACGGCACCAGAAACAAAAAACGGCGCCCGAAGGGGCAACAATCGATGATCCTCAGGACGTGTATTAGCGCCAACGTGTGTTTGCCTACGGAGTCCCATCAACACGACGAAGGCGATGTGATGATCGACTGGTTGGGATGAACGGGGTGAACGCACATTGGGCTGACATGCGTCCTGAGGCTCATCGAAAGAAAAACGGCAAGAAGAAACCGGAAAGACGGCCCTGTCGCCACAAATGCCCTCGAAGCGCCCGCGTATGTGCCGCCGCCATGTTTGCGCGCCCCCAAGCAGGAGGAGGGGAAGGAGAAGGAGGAAGAGGAGGATTAGGGGGGAGGAGGAGGGAGGAGGAAGGGAGAAAGAAGGATGGGGGAGGAGGAGGAGAAGGAGAAGGAGGAGGAGGAGGAGGAGGAGGAGGAGGAGGAGGAGGGGGGGGAGGGATGAGGATGGAGGAGGGAGGAGGGAGGCGGAGGAGGAGGCGGAGGAGGAGGAGGGGGAGGACGGAGAGGAGGGAGGAGGAGAGAGGAGGAGGAGGAGGGAGAAGGAGGAGGGAGGGGGGAGGGGGGAGCAGGGAGGAGGGAGGAGGGAGGAGTGAGGAGGGAGAAGGGAGGAGGGAGGGGAGGAGGAGGAGGAGAGAGGAGGAGGAGGAGGAGGAGGAGGAGGAGGAGGAGGAGGAGGAGGAGGAGGGAGAGGGGAGGGGAGGAGGAGGAGGAGGAGGAGGAAGGAGGAGGAGAAGGAAGCAGGAGAAGGAAGAGGACGACGAGGAGGACCAGGGCCCACCAACCACCCGCGCATGTGCCGCCGCTCGCGCCTCGGTGGGTCTGCCGCGGACCCAATCGCAGGCGGCGGGCGCGCGCCCCGCGGCCACGGGCTCGTCCACGCCGCGCTTCGAGGCGCCGGCACGGGGAGAGGCCCTCGTCCTCATCCCCAGGCCCGCCGCTCGGTCGCAGGAGGAGGGGACGGAGGAGGAGGAGGAGGTGGTGGAGGAGGAGGAGGAGGAGGAGGAGGAGGAGGAGGAGGACGGGGGGGGGGGGGGGAGGGGGGAGGCGGAGGAGGAGGAGGAGGAGTTCAGTTCAGAACGCCACGCTCGTAGGATTCAGGCTCGGTCAACGTTAAAGAGGAGGAGGAGGAGGAGAGGAGGAGGAGGAGGAGGAGGAGGAGGAGGAGGAGGAGGAGGAGGGAGGAGGAGGAGGAGGAGGAGGAGGAGGAGGAGGAGGAGGAGGAGGAGGAGGAGGAGGAGCGCGCGCCCCTCGGCAGAGAGCAGGGGCGCCTCCTCCTCCTCAACCCTGCTCATCCTGCCCCTGCGTCGTTGCTTCTCCCTCTCCTCCTCAGCCGCCTCCTCCCCCCCCCGTCGTTCCTCTTCCCCCTCCGTTCCCTCGCTACACTTTTCATCCTTCTCCTCCCTCCTTCTCGTCCTCCTCCTCCTCCTCCTCCTCCTTCTCCTCCTCATCCGCAGACGCAGGTCAGGGCTGGCCAGGGCCCCGATATGGATCGTGCTGCTGCAGGTCCTCCAGGTCCACCAGCGCCCCTTTCCCGCCCTGGGAACGCGGTGCGTCAGAAGGAAGCGGCCACGGTGAAAAGCGAACGGCAGCAGCGCTCGGGGGCGGCGGGAGGTTGCGATGCAACCAGGTGCGAGGGTTAACTTCGCACTGGAGGAGCGAGCGTGATCGAAAATTCCCCCCTCCCCGCCCCTCTGGAGACTCCGCCGCGGTGTTGCGCGGCGGGACGGGCGCACTCGCGAGCCGACTGCCATCGTGCAAACTCGACGCCCCCGCCGTCGGCTTCGGCGTCCCTGGCCTGGCAAACGAGGGGAGGCAGGAAGTAGGGAAACGGACAATGACATGCACATAAAGACTAGGAGGTCCGCGCGGATTTCTCGGATCGGCGCTGGGGCCCCCCTGGCGGCGCCTCCGGGGCCGCCCCTGGCGCGCTCCGCGCGCCAGGGACGGGGATCCAGCGCCGATTCGAGAAACCTGCGCGGACCTCAGAGTTTTTGGGTTTATGTCACTGTATTTTCCCCCAGGGTGACAACGAACTGTGAATCAGGAGCAACGAGCAGGTGGCGGCAGTCGGCGCCTGCGGAGCGACCAGGGTCGGCGGCGGGCCGATGGGGGAGGTGGCTCGCGCGGGCGCGGGGCGTGCTGTGGTACGGCAGGCAGGCAGGCGAGGCGGGGCCCCCCGCCAATGCAGTGGGCCCGCTGTCTTGTCTTTCGCTATCGTTTCCCAGGGCGTCGGGAGGGCGGGCCCGTCACCGCAGTTGCCCAGGCAGCTGATTGTGATGATGATGCTGCTGCTGATGATGGTGCGGATGATGCTGATGCTGAAGATGCTGATGATGATGATGATGATGATGATGATGATGATGATGATGATGATGATACTGATAATGATGATGATGATGATGATGATGATGATGATGATGATGATGATGATGATGATGATGATGATGATGATGATGATGATGATAATGATGATGATGCTGGCTGATGATGGTGGTGATGCTGATGGGAGAACAAGTCGGGTTGCTCGGCGAGAGGGCCCTCAGCACGCGCCGCCCTGCTCTCGATTCCCGTCTAGATAACGACCCCCTCCCCCAGCCCGCGATTTGTGGCGCCACCGCGGCCGTGGCGGCTGGCCGG